CCCCCCCCCCCCCCCCCCCCCCCCCACCACCCCAAAAAAAAAAATACTAATAATAATAAAACAAGCACAAAAAGAAAACAGAAAATTGGGTAAGGGGAGCTAAAACATTCAAAACTTTGCAGGAGCAATATTGAGAAGTGGACAAACATTTCTCTGTTGAGATGCCAGATAAGCATCAGGTAAAGGAAACGGATTATCTTTTGTGGAACCATCTTGCTGACTTCCCAAACAGTTTGGAATCTGCACATTGTGAAGCATATGAACATTAAAGCAGAAACTTCTAAAAACTTGAGAAAAGCTGACATCAATGATACCCCAAAAATCTAAATGGGTCAATACATCATATAAACAAGAGATTAGAGTTTATACGCTGAAGATTCAAGGTTCTGTGAGCATTCGTGTAGAATACAAATGATAAATGAATTAACATATCAACAAAGGTTAAATCCATTAAAAACATCTGAGGACCTAGATATTCCGTGAAACAAAGCACATACCAAAAAATTAGTGTACTGATCTGGGTCTAGGCAGGTAGCAGATTCAGCTTGAACATCCAAGACTCCAGCAGGATGAGATAATGAGTCATGGGGATCAACCATTCCAAGTGCCACAGGTTCATCCCACCTGTTGATACTAGGGTCAATGCCAACTTGATTCATGTGCTCCTCCAATTTCGAGTAAAATGTATTATATGGAGCAACCTGTTGAAAATTAAACAAAAGAGAGATAAGATATTTAACGTTAATATTCATTGGAATATGATACATAATACAAGTTCACCAACCATTGAACGTTTGGGCTCAAAACTATGTTTGGGTAGATCGAGACAGATTGATACGTCAGAAATGTGTTAGCAGAAAAACTATATGCAGATTCCAGACAACTTCCTGGGGTTATCAAGCAGGATATTGCAGAAGAATAAGGAGTGTCACCACCAAGTGGGATGTGTGTGGAGAAGATATTTTTTCCTTTGTAATTCCCCTCCCTTTTTGGAGTAAGGTGAAACGGGTACTTTTGTATTATTCCATGCATTTTAGAATTAGCACCACTTGTCAACAAAATTTAGCCAGCAGAATTGTGAAGTGCTAGCATGATGCTGAGATGTGTGCAGAAAAAAATGAAGCGAGTCTCACCTGCAATTTATGGTTATCACCAACCATTAGAGGTTGTTGATTTACTCCCAAGAAGAATAGACATTCACGACAGTTGGCAATGCAGATTCGTTTTGCTGCTGTAATCAGATGAAGGCGTTCACAATGTTCCACTCTTACAGCCTGTAGGAGAAAAATATTCCACGTGTACTCTAAGACTCTTCTAATGAATTGTATTAAAAATAAAAATCATGTGCACCCGGTACAAATAGAAATGACAAAACCACATGCTATATCAAGCTTCAAAAGCACGTACCTGAATTAGCGTATTAATGTCCAGCTAGGTACAAAAGAAATTGTGTTATTAAGAATTAACCATATCAGTACCTTGCCAACGGCTCCCAGAACAATAGTCGCATCAGAGCATCCATAGACTGTTGCATATCTCAGAGGTGCTAAAATGTAAATTACCGATTCATGACAATTTACAACCTGCAAACATTGAGTCGAGATCAAGAGATAAGTTGCTTGCACTGACATGAGTAAATTTTATTTTGAAATATGCATGCCCAGAGCACAAGTAAGCAAAGGCTACATTATCAATTTTGCTTCCCAATGCAAATACATCAGATGCAACGTTGGCTAGAAAGTAACTTATCTAACTCAGTTTTTGAGCATTTCACATTTTTATATAAAATACAGTCCATCTTAACTAGGATAAATTTCACCTTTTTTCCATTTCTGTTAGGAATTAAGATGGATCGAGGTTAATAGAGAAACGGAAAATTAGCAATGCCAGACAAACCTACCACCCATTTTCTATCTTAATCTTTCATAGCATGGATAATATAACAGATTCCAAAAAAATGGGAACCATCAACTGCCCACGGAGGTAATTCCATTTCAGCACAGCTCGGTTCATCTGATCAAGGCAACAAGATACCTAAAAGCTTCACAAAACAAATCCAAAAGTACCATAGAACTAAAATTCATTAAGCACCTCAATGCATATCATTATTGAATCTAGACAATTGAAAACACATACATTGGCCTGCAAACTGATTTTCTAAACTCAAATGGGACTAAATATTTATAAAAACTGGTTTACGAATCATAATTTCTGCTAAATCAAGATAAGGAAGGGCTGATGCACAAAAGTATAGATTCTCACCTTTACAGAAGAGCCTTTAAAATCAGATGCTTGCTTTACATATGATGACTTAGAGATCCCCTCAATAAAGCTTGGACCTCTGGTTAAGGGCTTTGCTGAACTTGTGCTGACATCAGCCATTGTAACATCCTGATCACAGGCATTGCTTGGCCCAATATCTTTTGAAGAAATTCTCTCAGAAATATGTTCCAGTGTAGAGGCTACATTTTGTAGCAGCCAACTGAGAACTTGTGATGCAGGAACAGGAACAGCAGGCATGTCGGGATCTGAATTGGCAAAAAACTGAGAATTTTGGCTCAAGGGGCTTATCTCGGATCCCTTTTCTCCAAAGTAAATCAGAAATCCAAGATGCTCAAATTTATCCATCGATACAACCTGACACAGAGAATAAATCAGCATATCAGTAGAAAGCTCGAGCTGACACAAATTCAAAGTGAGAACATGTGGCACCATGAAAATGTGGTAACTTACACCAACAACAGGAATATTGCCGAGAATAAAACTAATCTAGCAACAAGTTGTTCAGTATAGGTAAATGAGACCAGTTCCAAAATTAAGTAAAAATGATTTTAACATAACAAATGCAAAATAGGCCTATGGAAGCTTAGCCTCGTGTGCATAATGGTTAAGGCAAGCCAAAAATTTACATACAAGAGAGTCTTCCGCTTCCCCATCTACGGAGTCTGCCAAAAGGGATACAATATTTCCCAGGTGCTTCTGCAAATAGGACAGCTGATGAGCCTCTTCATCAGCCTGGGATGGCATAAATCGACGACTGTTGCTACGCACAAGCTGCAACAGATTGAACCATACTTGTCAGTGATAATACTACAAAATATAATGACTAATTACAGCAACTATGAACAGCTACAATTACTATTGTTAAGATTACAACACCAACTTACTGCTACCTCGTACTGGGACAGCAGTTGAAAACATAGTTGAGTGGACAGCAAATATTCAAGTCAATACTCAAAACAGTAATTAAAACCAACCAAAAGACTTAACAGAACGCATTTCAATCCTAAATCTCAAAGCCCATCCAAATCATGAACAAGTATTAGTATATTATATTATTATGTATGTATACATGCTCTGAATGATTTCTACTGAAAAGATAATTAATGAACCAGTTGCATTTTAATCCAGAAAGCAATAACATTTATTCGTCCACTACATATAGCACCGCATTCTTATAGGTATGAAACAGCCATAAAACAAGAAATACTATACTCGAACTAAACCCACGTCAAACACCCAAATTCAACACTAATGCACCAGAAAACTCTAAAATAAAATAAAATCAAAACGAATGGAAAAGCATAACACGTTCCAACTAAAATTTGACACCTGTAATGGTGAAAGGGCGGACAAAAACCCGTCAAAAGCAGAGGTGGATGGCCAAACATCAGCGACAGCAGCAGAATCCTTGTGCCCTTTAGGAATCAACCTCTTATAACTCTGTATATACAAATAAACCAGCAAATCAAACACATTAACTCCAATCGAATCTATCTCCTGCGGAGTCTTGGCATTGACCAAAGGATCAGAATCATTATGCAGAACAGAAGACAGCGTTTCGAGGATAAGCCGAGAATGGTCAAGAGAGATCTGGAGAGCTCCGGCGAGGGATTCCGAGTTGACCCGGTTTGACGAATCGGCGGCCAGGAGGGTAGATTTGAGATGGGAAAGGGTTTGCGTGGCGTCGGGGAAAATGAGTTTGGGGATTGGAAGAAGGCCGTGCTCGAATGGCTCACGGCGGGGATGAAGGTAATTGGTTGTTGTGGTAGACGATACCGATTTCGTCGGAGAAATTGAAGAGGTTGATGGGGATGCGAGAGAGGGCGGTTCTTTGGGGGCGGTATCCGCCATTGCGGTGGAGATTTTGCTTGGGGTAGTGGAGAAAGCTGAGCTATGAATGGGTCACTGAGAAAAGAGAGTGCCGAATGTACTTCCAAGATTTGTGAATCTAGAACTTTGAATTTACAGAAATGGCACCAGATCGTACTAGATACGATTACTCGTCCCATTCCATATTTATATGATTTGGAACGTCATTTTTTGCGACTCTCCTTTCCTTGTTAAAGGCAAGGCTAATTGTCACGCCACATTCTTGGTTCGAAGTTCAACCTATTCTCATTGTTTATGGTGGTTGCAAAGAACATGAAATCGCATTCATCCAAAATTAATTTGATGCCTTGAGTTCAAGCAAATGAGGGAGTTACTCACAAAATTTCGTGAAAAATAAGCTATTCAGAAGTATTCAATAGAAAATAAAAAGAGTTCTATTAGGTGGAGCATGTGGTNGAGCTATGAATGGGTCACTGAGAAAGAGTGCCGAATGTACTTCCAAGATTTGTGAATCTAGAACTTTGAATTTACAGAAATGGCACCAGATCGTACTAGATACGATTACTCGTCCCATTCCATATTTATATGATTTGGAACGTCATTTTTTGCGACTCTCCTTTCCTTGTTAAAGGCAAGGCTAATTGTCACGCCACATTCTTGGTTCGAAGTTCAACCTATTCTCATTGTTTATGGTGGTTGCAAAGAACATGAAATCGCATTCATCCAAAATTAATTTGATGCCTTGAGTTCAAGCAAATGAGGGAGTTACTCACAAAATTTCGTGAAAAATAAGCTATTCAGAAGTATTCAATAGAAAATAAAAAGAGTTCTATTAGGTGGAGCATGTGGTTTAGTATTAGCATGGTTGTGCTATGTTGTAGTCTAACTAACAAAAATTCTTTATAATGTTCGTGTTGAATCTAAAATTCTTGGCCTGCAATCCACATATAAATCGCTTGTGCATTTCTTTCTAACAAAATGGTGATTAGGTGCAAGGTTTTTTTTTTTTTTTTTTAACTTTTGGAACCCTCTTGGGGAGGATTTGTTTCTTTAGAAGAAACTTACTAAAATATTATTGTTAAACATGAATCGACCTCAAAATGACACTCTATGAAGTTGATTGCAATGCTCAGCCACGCTAGACCAATCACAAATTCAATAAGCGAGGTTGAAATGCAAGTTCTTTTACCTCAGCACTACACAATTCACTTTATTCTTGCTATCCATTCCGGTTATGAGCTTGTTTGGGAGAGATTAAAAACTAGTCGTTATTGTTGACTTTTATTAGACGGGTGGGACCCAATAACGACTATATTTTCAATTTTAATTGGATTAAAATCCCGCCCAAACAAGTCCTATGTTTTACTATATGCTTTAAAAGATTCTTTACCGTGTTTAGGGTTGGACAAAACTCCCGAACCGAATCGAGTGGTTCTTCATAAGTTAAATATCCGAACGGGTATCTGAATCGAGTACCGACGAGTTTGGTTTGGTTCTCGGTTCTAGATCCAAAACTGAAGAATCGAATAAGAACCAAATTTAAATAATTTTTTTAATTTTTTATATTGAATTAATTAATTTTTTTAAATTTTTTTCTAAATAAATTAGCAAATTAACTAATTTAGTTATTAATGTTCTAACTCCCAACTCAAGTCCATGCCTAGCTAACCCAACCCAATTTCTAAATTCAATTTTTTGGTCATATTATTAATTTCATTTTTAGCCCAAGATCTAGGTCTTTTTAAGTTTTTATCATTTACTTTCTAATTTTACACTTTCATTCGGTAACCATTGAGTCAATGACCTCAAATCATTTGATAAATTGAAAACCTACATCTACATGCCCAAATCGTAATTGTCGACTGTTGAGTCCGACTTCCCCTCTCCAATGCCGATTGAAGCCACGACCTCCAACCACGACCACCGATTGTTGACCATTAGAAATCTGTTAAAAAAATTAATTAGGTACGGAACCGAACCGAAGCGAACCCGAACGGTTCCATAATTATTTTTAGACCCGACGATTCCATTTATTAAATACCCGAAAATTTTGGTTCGATTCGGTTCTCTTCAGAATCGAACTGAATCGGACTATGTCCAACCCTAACCGTGTTATGGTATTTTGTAGTCGAATTTGATGTTTTATATTCTATTTTAAAATAATCTGCATCGTGTTACTCTTGAATTTGAATGTTGATGGATTGATATTTTTATGAAATTGAATTTTCCATCTCTTAGAAGATAAGCTACTCCAAAGTGTAATGGTTGAGAGATGAGCTTACAAATCTTTCTTAACTTGCGGATGATACAAAGCCAGTAATTGAGATCATGACTATTTGACCAAATTTTAAGTTTTAAAGTGTTCCACAGTAAAAATTAGAGAATGTAAAAAAAAAGTTGATTATCTATAATACATTAAGAGGTTGTTTGGTGGAGATTAAAATTAGATTTTTTGTAGATTGTGATAGAAGTTTTTGAAATGTGTAGTTGAAAACTTGTGTGACCCATAAAAGATATGGTTAATATTGATTGTTCGACTTTAACTTAGTCCGGACCAAACATGAGCTAAATCTCACGTCAAATGATAATCATTTTTTGGACGATTTTATATTTACTATTATTCAATTATTTCAATAATACCATACTTTTTATTTTTCAATATGTATTTAATTATTTTAATAATACACCACTTTTGTTTTTAAATATGTGTTTAATTTATTAATCATTTGAACCATCTAAACAATATTGTCATCAGTTATTTTATTAATTACTTAGTTATGATGAATATACATTTGACACATTCATTATCTTACTTTTCGTTTTTCAATATATATTTAATTTATTTAATTGTATTTGACAGATTCAATGCTGTTTCGTTTTTCAATATGTATTTGATTTATTTAATCATTTTAATATCACTATAAATTATTTTATCAATTATTTAGTTGTGATCAATATACATTTGACAAATTTATTCAACTTAATTGGAAAGTAAATTAATTCCCTTGTAATTTTTTTGGAACAAAAAGATGAACATTTTTAGACTTTTCTTCCAATTGATTTATTCAATGAATATTAAGATACATAAAATATAAATGGAGGGACATAAAACGTATCTATAATAAATAATTTCAATTGATATATCAATGCATATTAAGCAAATAGGAGGAAATGATGGTATTTATTGGACGTTCAGTTCATATCAAAAAAGCAAATGGAGAGACTATTCTAATTAACTTCCTCAATTATTTAAATTATTTTCACAAACTGATTTTAATGTCACTTGAATTAAAAGTTCATTTAACATAAACAATTTGTATTAATTATTTTTTATATTCTCACATCTTACAATATTTTTTGTAGCACCTATAAAATATTTCAGAATAACGTGCAATATATGTTCAGTTATGACTAGTTTATCTAAAAATCACTTAATCCCTTTTGTGGAAATTACGTAAAACCAGTTGTTTAGTTTAACGTTTCTAAAAATCAGGTTTAAGCTTTATTTAATCAAAAATCAGGTTTTAATTTCACAATAATATTAATAATGATATTTTAAATTAAATTAATCTATATACACACATACCCCACCAAATGTCAATCTCAATTTCCAAAACCTTCTCTCTCTTTTGTCTTTTCTTTGTCGTCTCCTTCCCTTCACCCTCCTCTCCTCCCTTCTCCTCCCCCTTCCTCCCATCTCCACTCTCTCACCGTCTCTTCACAAAGTCTATACAGCCGCCTCTACCGCTCGTCGTTCTTCTGTTCCTTCTCTTCTTTCTCCTGGCACTCACGTCGTTGTCGTCCGCCATCGTAACTCAGTCGAAGCCTCCTGAGACTCTGCCCTCGGAGCAGCCCACCTCAAGGCGGAGAGGCGCTAGCCACAAGCGAAAATCGACCTCCATTAACAGTGGCGGTGGTTCAACTACTCAAGCCATTTCATCCAAGCGCCAGGCCAGAGAGAAGACATTTCCGGTGCCATTTCTTCTGATCCACCACAATGGACCATTCACTAGGGCGCGGGTGCAGCCGAACAACAATGGTGTGTCGGTGGTGGAGCCAACAGAGCGAGTTCGCATAGAAACCTCAGTTAAGAAAGAGGATTCGATTGAAGTGATCGAAAATTGGGAAGCTTTTGAGGCGAAGATTGAGGATGATTATGTCGGCATTAGATCGACAGATGCAAATGTCCATGTGGTGCCTACTCATGCTGGTTAGTGAGAACCAAATAACAGGTCACAAATGGGTAGGATGCTTCCTCTTACTCTTCTTCTCACGTTTTTCATTCTTTTCCGCCTCCTTTTCAGGTTTCTTCATCTTATTCCCAGCAAATGTATGGCGGATGTGTGTGTGGCGGATGTGTGTGTGTGTTGTGGCGGGGTCGACGGTGGTAGATCAGTTTATTGGCGGATCTGTGTGTGATGGATATGTTTATTGTTGTGGCGGGGTTGACGGTGGTGGTGGTGGTGGGTTTTTCGATGTTGTGGTGTAGGTGGCGATGGTGATGGTTGTTTTTTGTTATTATTGTGGATGTGGTTGTGGTCGTGTTGTGACTGAGGGGACGATGTTGGTGATGCTGTGTAGGCGACGACGATGGTGGTTTGGGTGGTGGGTGGCGGCGAAAAGTGTTTGTGACCAACTATTTGGTCGATCTGTGATCAAGTATTGGTGGCGGATTGAGATCGAGGACGGGTGTTTGAGTGTATGCGACCAACTATATTAGCTATTAAACTTTGAACTTAAAATTCGATAATCTGTTACTAAAAATATAATCCGTGACCAACAAATTTGGAAATATGTGACCTCTGTTATCTATAATTTTTTTAACTTGTGACCAATTAAACATTTGTGACCTATAATTTTTTTGATCAGAGATCAATGACGTCAACTGTGACCCAAATATTTTTTGATTTGTAACCTTGAAATAATATGTGACCAATAATTTGATAAGTTGTGACTGAAAATTAATTTTTGTCTAATTAATAGATATTTGCGATCAAATTGTATATAATTGTGACCTTAACAATTGTCGAAATCGGAGTAGTCGTCGGAATTAAACGGTGGCAGAGCGATCGTCAGAGTACTCTCCGATCGTCAGAATAGTTGCCGGAGTAGAGTGGCCACCGGAATTGTCGCCAGAGCAGTAGGGGGTGGGGTGGGATTAATTATATTATATTACAATTAAATATTTAATTAATTAATAAAAACCTGATTTTTACAATTTTGAAAGTTAGCACCTGATTTTTGATTGGGAAGAATAAATAAATAAGGTGTTTACTTTTACCAAAACGAAGTTTTATTCCACCAATTTTATAAAGGGAAAAAACATAAATAAGGTGTTTACTTTTCCCAATTTCAAAAATACCAAAACATGTTTTAAATTTCAAAAATTAGGTTTCTTTAAATTTTTAATTATGAAATAATCATTATTAAATTAATTTATTATTAATATGTCAACGTCACAGATATATATAATTTGGTCACAAAATTCAAAATTTTCATATGTCACAATTTAGAAATTTGAAAGTCACAATTTGTTCATCGGTCACGGATCCCAAAATTTATAGGTCACAATTTATCAATTTATTGGTCACAATTAATAATTTTTAGGTCACAATTATTAATTTTTTGTGAGTCACATAGTATTTTTTAGTCACAATTTATTATTATTGGTCACACACCAACAAATTTATTGGTCACAATTTGTGAACACCACCAAAACAACACCACCGTCGTCAACACCAACACCACCACATCCCAGCAACAAAATCCCTGTTCCAAACATCGCTGTCGACGTTTTCACCACCACCACCACCACTACACCAAACCGTCCCACCACCATCTTCATTGCGTCGCCGCGCCTGATCCATCACCAAATCTAACATAATCGCCGCTACCCAAACACCACCACCACCCACAGTCCCCATCTACAACTGAAAACACAAAAAACTGAAACAATTACTGGATCCGTGGGCTACCCAACTTTCACTCCGCAACCACAAAAATACTTCGACACCGCAACCCAACCTTCACTCCACAACCATAAATTACTTCAACACCGCCCAGCACCGCTTCACCGGTAAAAAAAAAAAAAACCAAAAATAAAATAAAATGCAACACAGCATCACCGCCCATCGCAGTCGCACCACGCTGCTGAAATGCAGAAGCACCGCCCATTGCAGTCGCACAACGCAGCACCGCCCATTGCAGTCGCACCACGCTGCTGAAACACATAAGCACCGCCCATCGCAGTCGCACAACGCAGCACCGCCCGTCGCAGTCGCACTACGCAGCACCGCCCATCACGTACGCAGTCGCACCGCTCCGCTGAAAAAACCACAGATCTGTGAGAGAATGGAAGAGGGAGCTCTCGTCGGGGAGGTGATGGGCAATTGGGAACGGGGAGCTCTCGCTGGGGGAGGAGACGGATGTGAGAGAATGGGAGAGAGACGGATGTGGGAGAATGAGACGGTGAAGAAATGAAATTTCGGGTTAATTTGAAATATTTTAATTGGGATGAAAATTATATTATTAAATTAAATATAAAAAACCTGATTTTTGAAAAGTTAAACTTGAAATGGGATTTATGAAAGTGGAAATCTAAAATCAGGGTAGGGTGTAATTTCCTCTTTTTGATTTTGGCAAAGATAATTCTCAATCCATGAATTTTTCCCATCATTTTTTGTATGATATGATGGGCTGGCCCAAGTCCAGGAACAGGCCCACCACTCCATGTACTTACTTTGCATTGGGCTCAGGATGGAGAAGACACTGGACATTTCCAAACCATTATTCTAAATTTTGCCAAGGCAAATTATATCGACACCATGAATTTTGTTACACGTACTACATTTTAGTTATAATGAATTTATTTTTTTGCTCTTTTTTTTTTTAAACTTATATTCTTAACTTTTATTTACCCGCATTCTTATATTTTACCTTCAATCAGTTAGCATATATTGTCTCTAACGATCGTTTCTATCCAAATATTTGGTAGTGCATGAAATTTTGTTGAATTTTTATATTTGTTGTTTATTTTATTTATTTAAAAATATGATGAGCAAATGAGTCTTTTTACTCACTCTAACATTTTTTTAGTAATCAAGGACAAAATATTCTAATTAATATAAAGTTGAAGATAAAAAAAAGAACAAAATTTGAAAACCTACATTACAATTAAAATATGATACAATTAACCAAATTATGATGCGAATAAAATTAAATTTTCATTAATTTGCACTGAGTTCAATCTGTTAACAAGAAATGCCAACATGTTAAATTTCGTCGATTTTTCAGATAATGAAAGTAAATTTTTATACAAAGTTTCCAACAAAATCGTGATTATACTCTTTAAGAGTGAAAATTTTCCTCTTTTAATCTATGCCGACAATAACTAGATTGTAATTATAGTTTCTTAAACTAATATCCCCACGTATTCAGTGTTCCGAACATATTTGCCATGATTTCTTACTTCGACCCAATGTAAATATTTAGTTCGATGATTTTAGACACTTTCTCAAACTTATTACAGTACAAATAAAAAAGTACATATTACAACGGATTCTTAGAAAAACAAGTTGTCAAGAGATGATATACTTATTCTATATTCAATCAAACTCGTATTTTTGTAGCTGCGAAACTATGAATATTTTAATCTTTTTTGTTGTGATGTTTATGAAATATTTAGAATATTACGAAGATTTTCATCTTTGAACCGTTAGGAATGGAGTTACTTTGATGGTTTGTACAAATCTTTTTATTTCACTAATTACTACGGTTTCGAATACGTCATGGTGCGAGATTATTTGGACTGCTCTATGTAGCATCGTAGGGACAAGAATGCAACTCAAGGAAAATCAATGTCTTGTCTGAATTAAATGGAAACATGTGAAAACCTGGTCAGGACACAGAGAAACAATTTCACTTCCAAGTGTGGCTAATTAAGGCTGAACCAAACCCTAAGAAATTTAAAGATTTTTCCAACAAAATCAAAATTCACTATATATAGAATAGAAACCTGAAAAGAGGCTGATGGGTCCTACTTTGAAATTTTGACTTTTGATGATGTCTTGTGGAATTATAATTTATGGCCCATATTGGTTCTTACTCTTTCCCCACTAAACAAAGGACCCATCCCATTAAATCAAAGTTAGGGTTTGCTAAATTTAGCAAACACTTTATCTTCACACACCAAAGCATATCAATAAACAATATGCGTCTACATAATAATGACAACCCATCCCCAATCCTCAAAGAGATTCCTAGACAAAGCCTTTTGTATTTTAAGCACTTAGATATGCGTGGTACGTAACGCTAAAAAAATATTATACAGTATAATTCAATTCGATGTGGTGTCCTACTCATGGTTTTCCATTATTTCACCCAATGTAAGCCGATAAGGTCTACCATCACACGTTTTTGTAATTCACTCTAAGTATCGGATTTTCCACGACAATTTTGAGCGATCACAATTCTCAATTAGTAACTTTTCTTAACGTTCCATTTTAATGAATAAGTTACGAGGTCTAGGAATTTTCTGCACTAAAATAGTCTTTCTCCTATGTCTTAATTTCATCTCTATATTATATGACTCGAAAATTCCATTCACAATAACTATATTTTCACTCTATTAAAATCGTTTAATTGCACTTTAATTTTGTTCAATTGGATAAACACACTTTATTTTAATTTCAATCGGGTATCGCTTGGACCGACGAAATTCCATGATATAGCACTAATAAATGAAGCCCGATATTTTATTTCAATGAAGTTCTACTCATTTCATGTCAGCAACTAATAATGATTCGTGATAATCATCATTTATTGACTGTCGCATCATCGACTATTGTTAGTGAAATTGGACAAAACTACCTTAATTGAAATCAAATTAATGTGATTATCCGATTGAAGGCAAAATAATGTGTGGCTACCCAATTGAAATCATATTAAAGTGCAAATGAACAAAATTGAAATATACTTACGTATTATTCACTAAATCTATGGACCCTTGCGTGTTGTGTGTTTACATGACTAAATCCACTGGTGCGTTTCTTCCTTGGGAGAAAAAATCAAAGTCCTAAAAAAGAATATCTATGAATAAGAAATTATTTCTACTGTTTGACCATATAATTATATATTTTTCACAAAAATAAATAATGGAGGTAGCTCTCTTTGAAAGGGTTATACAAACTAATTGATTAGGTACAATGAATCTGCTC